TCGGATTGGACTCCTATTACATCTCAGCCTCGGATTGGGATCGTATTACATCTCAGCCTCGGATTGGACTCCTATTACATCTCAGCCTCGGATTGCATGCAACAATATAGTAACCGGGGAAGGGAAAAGGTCTTTAAAATGTTGAATCATATCTTTTAGATTTAATATAAAAACATGATCAATCCGAGGCTGAGATGTAATACGATCCCAAACGACGTTATGCAATGAGTCATGTGTGTTGACTTAATTTATACTGCTTGGTGATAATTTATTCAGTGAGAATAGTATATATGTATACAGTTGCGGTTTCGTACTTTACCGCTACTGTACAGTGACATGTTCTGTGATTTCATGATTTATACGAGTGGAATGGAAAGCCACTTCAGTGTTCAGCATGTCGTACTATGCACGGACGGCACGTTCGTAAGTCAGTAGCGCATGTACGTTTCACATTCATAAGACGTTTCGTAGAAAAAAAGGCTCTATAGAAACCCAAAATACGTTTAAATATATAACAATCTTTTTTTTTTCCTATGCAAACTTCAGTCTCCTGGGCGTTTGAACTGCCCTATTAAGGAGAGATAGCATTATATCTACAAGATCCCATAGAACATTATCTTGGAATATAAATATATATTTGTTCCTGTTATTACAAATCCGCATGTTAAGTATGACGATTGATATCGGATCCTTCTTAGTCGTGGGGGGAAGTTGTTTAAAAAATGACATGTTTTATTAGCGTTTAAATTATAAACTTCAGCACAGCTATCTAAATAAGAGTGTTTTCCAGTGAGCGAAATAAAAAATTTATATACTATAATGCTAGAGTATCGGAGAAGAAAAGCAATTTGGCTCGAATAGGCGCATCGATGCGGATTAAATAAATATTGCGTGTAAATCCAAGAAAATTGTCATCCATTCCGACATTGATTGACTATCAAACTCCTATATTCATTACAACTTTCAGCGCAATGACCAACAATGAAGGAGCAGTGCCAACAATGAAGGAGCAGTGCCAACAATGAAGGAGCAGTGCCAACGATGAAGGAGCAGTGCCAACAATTTTAAACCAATATCGGTGACTTATTTAAAGATACTCAAAGACCTTTTA